AAGTTAGAAATACAATATACTTGTCTTGCTCTAACTTATTGTACTAATGACCCAGTAAACAATCTGTGCGCAGACTGACGTCAGATTGGTGACAGATTTGAGCAGAAACAGATCCATAGACATTTGCGTCCTCAATCTGCTGTTAGACAAAGTCTGCTGAACAAGCTCTGACGGCAGATTGGTGGCAGAATACGCGCAGATCCTGCTGCAAGAGTATGTTAGCAGATAATATTAACATATTTACATATTTTCATTAGTAGGTATATGTGATTGGAAAAATTTAATTCTATTTATATCATGGACGAAGCGAATTGTCGCGGGGGTGAAGCCCAAAAGGTGAGGAAAATGATTGTATGTATTGTTATGGAGTTGCGGTACTAAGGATATATGAGGAACCTTCTCATATATCAAAATTTTTTATTAGGTATTCACTAGTCATCTCACTGATATGTAATAATGCGGATACACATAAGTCACAAAAATATCCGCTTTTTATATCATTATGACACTGAACGCCTTACATTAATTGCACAATTAAAGATAACCTTAAACTTATAAATGGAATGTTTTTGCATAAGTTATGCTATATACTTTAAAAATATTATATATGTTTTATGGATAAAGACTTTCTATAACTTTATACAATATTTAATAAAAGTTTAATTAAAGAAAGGAAAGGATCTCTGCAAACAAACTGTCTCCAATTTGCCGTCAGAATCTGATAAACAGATACTGCGTGCAATCTGTTGCCTTTCTGTCACAGGTACTGTTAACAGACTCTGCGCAAAATCTACTCGCGCAGGTTTGACTACCTGGGGAGATTATTAGAGATAATAAATAGAGATTCTTCGAAAACCAACGAAAATTTTTCTTGTTAAATATACATACAACACATGGTGTTCGCACAAGCACCTTCGTTGAGTATGCATTACACGAATACACGACCTGGTCAAAAATATTCGACATAACATACACTTCGTCTCAGGTCGCCGAGCGGTGACCTGGACATCCGCTGATTGTCAGTCACGAGCACTCATTTCTTTCTCTCACGAAGGAAACATATTCACGCATTTCTAGGAAATCATAATCCCGGATGTCGCGTCGAAGATTTATATATATCTCGTAAGATCGCAAGTCTTTTTTGTTTATAATTAACCGCAAGTTAATAGGAATCCGCGTATCCGAATATCGTCTGAGAGTTCGTGGGGGCGTTAATGGAGATTTGCGATCGCATAGTTACGTATGAAGCACACGGAAACAAATAAAATAAACAAAAATATATACTTATATAATTTTGTAAAATGTGTTATTTTTCGTTTAATTATATATCTCGTCATATACAATTATTTACTCTCTTAAAGTGAATTAGTGAATAATCACTAATATCAGTTATAAGCACTGAGCATTTTCAATGCCGTACTTATAACTGCAAATCAGTGTATATTCACCGTTTTCAGTGATGTTTGACTGATTCATTTTAAGAGAGTATTTTTATTATATAATTAATACTGCAATTATAAACAAAATCATAAAACTCCTAACTTATTTTCGTAAGATTTGTAAGAATATATGACTAAATCTGCAATTTTAAGCGGACTTTGTGTCATACGATAACTCGTAAATATCTACGATTTTTTGTAAATCTTACGACTAACTAGAAGTTGTCAATAAAAAGTTTGTGAATTTTACCAACATTACGATTGATTCGTAAGCTACGATTCAATCGTAAGACTTTACGATTTTACGATTTACTCGTATATTTGCTTAGAATTGCGGCATTAGTTGTATATTTTTATTTTAATTACATAGTTTATATTAGTCATATAGTTTATGTAATTGTTGTACGATGTTTTTTTTATCTGATTCATTGTTACCAGAATCGTATTGCCAAAAAACAATTTCAAAGTTTGCATAATAAAATGAGTTGTAACTTATGTTCGACAAAGTCTCTCCATTGTGTGTTAATAGGAACAATCAAATAAGCATTGACGCGACCTATTTTTATGACTGTACACTGTATGCAGAAACATTGTTTAATAATGTATTTTCATTTTTCGAGGCAAAAAACAAAATAATATTGCAATTCTAAGCAAATGTACGAATAAATTATAAAAATCGTAAAATCGTAGCTTTCGAATCAATCGTAATGCTAGTAAAATTCACAAACCGTAACTTTACTGGCAACTTCTAGTCATGTTGCAATTCTAAATGAAATTGTAAAACTCGTAATTTGTTTTTGTAAGACTCGTAACAAGTTACTTAAGTAGATCTGCAATTTGATGTGAACCATAAGGTCATACGATAACTCGTAATTATATATTTACTATTTCTTATAAGTCTTACAACTAATGCTGCAATTCTAAGTAAATATACGATAAAACATTATTATCCATATAATATTATAAATATAATTCTAAGTAAATATACGATAAAACATTATTATCCATCAAATAAATATTTTTTTTATTTTATAGATATTTTTCCTCTCGCAGTGTAGAAAAATGAGAGAAAGCAAAAATCCTTTTCTGTGAAATTTTATGTTATCTTGAATAGAATTTTTAGAATGGACTTTCTTTTTTCTTATACAACAATATATAAATTATTAATTAGTATATAAATTATGCAGTACATAAATTATTAAACAGTATATAAATTATTAAACTGTATATAAATTATAAATTATTAATTATTAATTAGAAGACAATAATGTCCAAATCGGGACGGAATAACAATGCCGGTTACAAAAATCAGTTTTGTGCTAATTATTTCTTTTAGCATTTTCAATTAAAATAAGCCGAATAAGCCTGACTTTGCTTAACTTTGCCTGAATTTATTGTTCGCATTATCATTTTCTCATTGCAGAAGCATATAAAAAGCTCGATCACCTTAAAAACATGAATCAAGAAGTAAGTAGCATCGCTGGGAATTATATTTAATACTTTTGAGTTTGGGTTTGAGAACACACTTGAGTTGTGTGTCTGTGCATATTAATTAATTTAATGATTACGATTTCGTCAGTGTAACTAAGTACTTATCGTTATACTAACGCGTAATCTCTTCAATAGATACAATATTACTTTGAACACGATTTTGTCCATCTAACTGCCGTAATAGAGGGATACAGGAAGGAATAGAACAGGCATCCTTTTTTTATACAGCGGTATATAGAGTGCCACTATCTTTTAAGGCCGGATTCTTGAGGTAATTTGAAGAAAAAAATCCTAATGCAAAAATGTGAATTTCACGGAATGTTACGAAACAAAGCCGGGCCATTAACCGGATAAGTTTCTCGATGCCATGACGACGACGAGGAGAGAAGGGTTGCGAAGGATAAGGATGAAGATCTTTCGGCAGAATGACGATGAGGAAAGGAGAACAAGGAGCGGAATAATGAGGAGGATGAAGAGAGTATTCGGCATAATTCGCGCTTAAATATCGTTCTAGAAGACGGAAAAGGCGAACGGGAGAGCGGTTATAATACTTTTCAAATTATAAAATTATTTCAAATTATAATTAAAGTTGACGAATTATATTAGCTAAAATACGCGCGCTCAGGTATGGCACAACACACAATGGTACAAGTGCATGCACATGAGTGAGAATTTGCATAAGATATGAAATTAGTTGTAAATCTCTGAAAGAAACGTCAAATGTGTGACAGCTTACTGATTCTCATAAATGTATTGTGTGATATTTTATTCATAACATTTTGACGAAATTGTTATTATTTGCGATGTTTATTTAAATGATAGAAAAGACAGATTATTATTACATATATTGTTGTATGTATAGAACTTCCGTATCAATATTTGGAAAAGGGACGATATATACATGCATCTGTACCATTGTGTGTTGTACCTGAGCGCGCGTACTTTGGCCAGTATAATTGGTTAACTTTAATCATTTATAATTTGTAAAGTATTATAGCCTCGCCATTTTTTATTCAAATTAGCTCAGAAATCCGTCCTTAAGAGATAATGCGGTAGTGACGGGACATCCTGTATAGATCGTAAGAGACAACTGTCCATATCGAGGCAGAATAACAACGTCGATTACAAGCTGGCTTTATGTTAACTATTTCTTTTGATTTCAATTAAAGCAAGACCGAACATGCCTTTGTCTCATTTATTATCCTAACTTATCATTTACGTCACAAGAAGAACATAAAAAGCTTGATATAATATAAGAAAATGTATTAATTATATCTATATATTTATATAGATATTAGTTAGATATTATTTATCTATATCATTTATACAAGTAACACACACAACGCAATCAAATTGAATCAGTTTATTATATAATATTTCTGAATGAGGTAATCTCACATGAGTAAACAGAGAAGAAAAACCGTAAAAAATCTCACGGAAAATTTGCAGGAAAAGAATCCAAGACACGATTAATCCGTCATTGAAAGATGATGTCTGATGGATTTCTTCCTTCTTTTCTCTTTAGTTAAATTTTTGTAATTTTTCAAACCTCATAATTTCTAATAGTTCTGTGGAATATTGAGATTTAATAACAGCTAACAGAGAAAAATTCCCAAGATATTACAGATTTAAAAAGAGAACGAAATAGAACGCGTACGATTTCTTAGATTCCACTTTTTCGACAGCAGATTAAGAGTCGGTTTATCCAACCTCTTGCTAAGCTAACTAACAGTTAAATCTTATGTCTATTTCTACCTAATTTGAAGGAGAAACAAAGACAGACGTATGAATTAACTGTTAATTAGCTTAGCAAGGAGTTGGAAAAACCGACCCTAAGTATACATTTCGCAAAACATATAAATCACACACACACACACACAAGAAAAACACAAAGAAATACGTGTTTTTAGTTCAGAAGCATCTTATGAATTTTAATGATTTTTTTAATGAGTGTATTTATCATATGTCGTCTCACGACAAAGCGGCAGTTGTGCACTTCTACCTGGCGAAATGACCGAATCAAAGGTCCAGGCATATTTGTTTATTAATACGGGCATAATATAAGAATAAAGTGAGCTGTTAAGTATCGCAACGCTCCACGTGTCGATGGTGGTGGTCGTTGAAAGTGTCGGTTATAAAGAGCCGCGGTAAGCCGAACCGATCAGTTCGACGTTAGCGCATCGTAAGAAACCGACCGTAGATCTGTGAAAAAAATATAATACTTACATACAAATAGGTGGGTGCAGAAAATCTATAATCCTACTCCCGGGCCGTAAAATTTTGAATTAACAAAATGTTCGTTATTCATGATTCATTTAGGAAATCACTCTCGCAGAGCACCTAGAGTATTTCTTTTTCATATAACAGTGTACAACAAACATTGTTTGTGTGAACATTGAGGAAAGAAACAATCTCTGTCATACGTATATGACGTTGGTTTCTCGTGAGAGAATGCTGCGTTACACATATGTGACACACACACACACACACACACACACACTGGTAGCGTTAAAAAGAACGTCCGGAAAATTAGTATTCGTGGTCCGCGAAACACGGCGTAGTGAAACTACGTCCTCGAGACGTTATCGGATTTGTCCGAAATCACGCCGTGAAAGATAGAATAGGAAATTGATCGCTCGATAGATCCGTGTGGCGAAAAAATCGTGCAGGGAAATCTGCAAAGGACTTTTCGCGTGTAGAATTCGCGCGATGGGGAAAGAAACATCCGAAAAGTAAAAACATATTTATTCCGTACAGATAATATATTTACTATCTAAATCCTTTTACTGAGATACAAACTAAACAGTTGCTTTCGTGAAAATCAGCAGGTTTTCAAAAAAGTATATGTTTTCTCAGTTGAGGAAAAATTTGTTCTCAGTGCAAACATACAAGATAACACAAGATAATACAAGATAGACAGTACAAGCGAATATATATTATTTATATATCCAGCGAAGAACTGTTCTTGTTCTCTAGATATTTCTGTTTCTAACGGGAAAATGACCGAACGCTTCCTCTTGAATCGCGTCCTCAATTTACCAGTTTATCAGATTTACATTTGCGACACTTTGACGCGTTCCAGACAGTAAAGACTTCCGCAAGACGTCTTAAACTGGTATCAATAGTCATTACTTGAAACTTGTTTTATATGAAATACTTAGATCCTTATTCAGAGTTTAATCCAAGGTTCTCACAGTTGAATTCGAACATGTGTGTGATATTTATGTTTGTGATTCAACTGAACAACTTTTACATCTGATTCTGAATTAAAGTCTAGGAGTATCTCTCATTAGAGACGAGTTTCAAGTATTAATATGGGCCTTAGTGACGTATAAATGAAATAGGACGTCTTTTAGGTATCTTCAAGATATCTTTTAGAAGTCTGTGCTGTCGATCTTGCCGTGATCAAGTCTAAAAAGCTGAAAGTCTGATCTCGCCCTTTCAGGGCGACCATGTCGGCGGCTGAACCGGAAATAATCAACTCCGTCGTTGCGGCGGCGTCCGTCGGACTGTCAGCGACCACGGTTTTCCTCTCCCTTTTGATACCCGCTCTCGTCCTCTACTACATCTACTTCAGGATCTCCCGTCGACATATGATCGAGCTGGGTGACAAGTTACCGGGTCCCGATGGCTTGCCGCTGATCGGAAATACGCTAATGTTCCTGGGAAGCTCAGACAGTAAGAACTCGCGCACACAGGCTGCTTATTTTCAAAGAGTTTCAAGTCCACTTTCGAAAGGAAAGCAAAGAATCAATCTTTTTCTTCTTTTGGTCGTCTTGCTCACGATTTCAAGCGATATTTTCCATGAATTTCCATGTAATTCTCTCGTGTGTATTCTTCATATAAATTCCCTTCAACTTTACCATATATTTCCCAGTGGTGCAAGAACAATCGCTCTCCCTCTTGATACCCGCCTTCGTCCTCTACTATATCTACTTCAGGATCTCCCGTCGACATATGATCGAGTTAAAGTTTCTCTTTAATCAGAGTTTGTCTTGCTGAAAACTTATAATAAGTATTTGAATAGTAGACCTAAGTTTCTCTCAAATATGGATATCAAATATCAGAAAATTGTAAGTTTCTCGGTTGCAAAGTTCTATAGAAGCTTTACTATAAAAAATTCTATAGAAGCTTTACTATAAAACTCTCTCCCGCGCTCCGTTAGAGATACTCGTACCGAACACCCGCCGATTACGCAACACCGTTTCTATTTTCAAGATCTATTTTCATGTTACGACAATCGTCCACCTTCTCCGCGGGACATATTCACCTTCTTAGATTAAATAACCGAACGGCTTTCGCCACGCGCTCGCGTATGTGGTGTCACGTAACTTCCGAACGGTCGATCATTTTCCTTCTGTTGCAGCCATATTCCGTAACATATACAGGAAGTCCTTCGAGTACGATCAAGTTATTAGGATATGGCTCGGCCCGAAACTAGTGGTCTTCCTCATGGACCCGCGTGACGTCGAGATCGTCTTGTCGAGCCACATCTACCTCGACAAGTCCACCGAGTATCACTTCTTTAAACCCTGGCTCGGAAACGGTCTCCTTATCTCCACCGGTGAGTGTTGCAAATACTATTATACTATACTATTATCTATACTTTTCTAATTGCGATTCGCGTCACGCAAATCCGTTTCTCGCGGAGGAGGAAGAAAGAGAAAGAGATAGAAAAAGGATGAAATAAGTATTTCTTTGTTTTGGGATACTCCATTTCGCACGCAGTATGATTAGTATATATTAAAATACACGTATATATAAGTGCGTGCTAACAATACACTGACAACTATACAATCAATCCTTTGTGATTCAAATTATTTTCGACTTTTCTTTTCAACTAATCCGTGAAAATACATTTACTTCGCGACAATATTGCATGGTCGACTTCAATATTTCTCAGTATTTCACTAATGCAATAAAACACACATATAAGAAATGTGTGCTTACAACAATATATATAGTTATGTCAACTATATATTTATATAAAATAATACAATGTATTCACAACATAAATATATTATATATGTTGTAACATAACATACATTTATATGTTTATATAGTTAACATATGTTTATATAGTTATAGTATAACATATGTTTATATAGTTATGTTGTAACATAACATATATACCGCGAAATATTCGGTATTACATACGTAGTTTATGCGTGTAGTCTGTTGAAGTTCAACACACACAGTCGAAATGAGGCTTGTCGAAGCTATATATTCGTGCAGCATCGGAAAATAAAGTGAGCCGTGTGATACGAAAAGCGCAAAGGAGTTTTGCTCGCTAGCACGTTTCCTATCTCCGAATACAACAGGTTTCTGGCAAAAACTCTCATAAAAAATAATAATTAAAATACTTATCTATATCTATAAAGAGATATTTATAAAAGATATGATAATTGAGCTCCTCAAATTTATAATCGTAAAATAGGAGAAAGACTAATAGGCCTCGTTTCGTGCGAATAGAAAAAATATTGTATTCATCGTAGGTAGTTCACCTCTAAACAGAATCACTTTTATCTGAAATATATTTTTAAACCACAAGTAATTTTGGAGATAATCACGTGGAAAAATTGAAATGGTACACTCCGTACATAAATGATATTACATGTAATTATAATTATTATTATAACAATAAGTTTTCACGTATGAAAAATATAATATCTGTAAAAGACATCATGTCTGTACAAGACACCACATGTAAAAACTGATGATGTGTATACGTTACGTTAATATTTCTTATATTACATTCCTAGCTTAACTGAAGTGAATGATTTTTCGCGATTGTTCGCGAAATGATAGAAGAATTTTATGTTTAATTTGGTAAATTTACCTGTACTAATGGATATGTCAATAGTTGTCAGACACTCAGCATATCAAATATCTTCTAGTAAAAAGAAAACTGGAAGAGAAGTAGATTTTATTTGATAAATTCATATCTTATGAAGCGGCGCGACGCCGAATACGTATTAAATAACATCTGGAATTCCTAGGTTGACTAGGTTGACTGGTCTTCCGCGAGTTAAATATCTCAAACACGAAAACTATAATCGAAAATCTGACCAAAGTTTTTTATCATAAGGATATCCGCAATCAGTAGAAGAAGAGTAAAAATGTTAAAAGTAAATAAAAAATATTTTTAAATATTTTTTTTACTTAAAATATTTTTTTCTAATATATTAAAGTAGAATGTTTATTAATATTCTGAAGCGTTTATCAAATAATCGAATAGTTTGAGAGAAAATAGCGTGAAAATATTAATACGAAAAACTATCAAAATGTCACTTCTATTTTGACACATTCCCGCTTGCCGATGCAAATGCGGCACTATAACGGCATTATATATTACAAACGCAATCTGACACGCATTGCTTGTGTGCGTGCGTATACGTGTGATCTAAAGCTGAATCGCTTGGCGATGCAAATGCGGCTTGATAGACAAACTCATTTATTTGTAACACTCAGTTTAACATGTATTTTTCGTTTTGTAGTTTTTGTTTTAATAATTTTTATACGATACTTTTGTTTGATACGTACTCGGCGCTTTTTTCTTTCTCAGAATTCTTCTTGCTTTTTCTATAGTATACTGTTTGTTTATTTAGTCAATGCAATAACAAAATTTAAAAAACCTCACAATATCGAGAAAGTAATACAAAATTTAAGATATTGACCCCAGGGTCAATACTAATTTATTAAAAATTAAAATATCAACTTAACAAGTTGGATATTTCTATCACACCGCGCATACACAGACACACATGCACACAATCTTCTTTTTATTATAAGATATTCGATACACCTATCTCATACCGTGTCCGCTCACGCGAAATCACGCTTATGTCACCATTTTCTTTGTGCGTTAATCTAAGTTTGCTGTTACGTACAGACTTCAGAGTTTACGGTCAGCATTTAACGTAATTTAAAGCGTTAAGGACGTTCTTGTGCGGAGGCTCTAACTCATAGCTCTCGTAAGGGTGTCTCGTGGGAAAGGAAAAACGTAGCTGACGATTACTTAAACGCGACGCGCATTACAACCACGCCGCTCTAACGGCGTGCTCTACAAAAGCTGTCCTCACGTAACGTCGATCATAAAACGCAACGAGTGCAGTCTCCTCCTGACCGGCGACTTTTCTTGTCGATCGTTATGAGAAACGCACGAACGACGAAGCGCACGTGTATCTACAATACTTTCCTTCATCACTCTCCCTGTCTCGTTTTTAAAATTACACCCGAAAGCGTCGTTCTAGTCTCACACAGTGACGAATTTGCATTTCACTCTTGATTTGCATTTTGCAAGCGAATGATTCGGAATGCGAATATTGTCGTCGGAAATATGAAGATGCGAAGACCTCATCGATGTCGTCTGTGATAAACAACTTCTTGATCGCGTCAAATTTTAAACTCCTGAGTCACGGTTTTTTTATTTTGACAATTTGGTGTTACTTTAGTAGAGGTATATCAAATATAAGTGTAAATAGTGCTTCAAAAGTTTAATTTGAAAAATGGTGCGAGCAGAAAAAATTAAAAAAGTTATTAAAAATTTACCAATGGAAAAACTGATGGAAAAATTTACTTTTTTCTAGTTAAATAACCTGTAACTACATATCTCAAAGAGCACTTTATTAAACGGCGTGGATAAGAAAAAATCAAAATATTTTTATTTTTAGAAAATTTTATATATATATACTCAAAAAGATATAATATAAATTATCTTTACCGGAATCCCCTCTCTTACGTTATAGACTCAAAAGGATTCTTCTAAAAATGAAAAGAAAATAATCTCACACCCCTATAAAAGCAACTCTAGTTGCAAATATTTTATTTCAATTATTTAAAGATTAAAATTATTCGTCGTGGAAAGAATTCTTCTAAAAAACTAAAGGGATTATATTCAAAGAAAAATATTATTCCTCCTCAATGTCTAATGATTGAACAAAAAACTCTAGTTGCAAATATTATTTTAATTACTTAAAAATTAAAATTATTTTATTTATTCATTAAATAATAAAGCATAATATTGTGCTTGGAATATTTTCCTTCTGATTTTAGAAGGATCCTCTTAAGGCGTTACGTAAAAGGATTGTGCTAAAGATGAAATTATATTTTTTTAGTTATGTACAAAAGGTATTCAAAAAGTCTACAAAAACAGATAACGAAAAATAATACAATTATCTTTGAAATCATTTTTATCACTTGCAAGTTTGTTCTATATCTTTTCTTCGCGACATCCTCTCTCCCGATCTTTCTCGTCACATCTCTTGGCCAGAATTTTCCAAATTGTATCTTTCCTGATTCTCTTTCTTAAATCTGATTTTGTACTCGGATTTTTTCAACCTAAACCTGAAGCACTGTCAGTGAAGCGTCACTTTCATCACTCACGTGCGAACGCATGTACAGCCATTACTTATAAACAACGTGATAATGAGATTCGCCACAGAGTGACTTTGCGGAATGCAACGGCGCCTTTCCGGAGAAACGTGGGACGTAGTTTCCCGCGGGGTGAAAACAAAAGGAACTAGGCGCAGCGCACGAACGTCGACTTTTATCGCAACTTTCTCGGTACTGAGATAGTCCTTTTTTCGTTGACGAAACTCTCTCGATCAGCCGCGAGTGCATAACGTCGCGCATACGTAATGCACGTGTGCGTTACCGTGCCTCGCTTGACGGGGCAATTTTGCTGCCTCTCGCATACATTCGTGTGCTTTCTAAGCACTCTTTTGCACCGTTATAAATCTTATCTCACACTCATGATCATGTCGTTATAAATAATACTCTTATCACTTTCGGCCTATGGTACATTACGTAATTAACTTACGTATGTAACATAATTCATTATATATAATTACGATACACCGTCGTTATACATAACGAGTGTCATTAATCAGTATCATTGATCCTGTTACTGGAAAATAGTTGCTACGCTTTACACTTTCGTTAAAATTTCCCGCTCCCAGAGCGGCTGTGTCGACCGAGTTAAATCCCGACGAGAATGCAAAAGACATAATTTTGCAACGATTCTAAGTTTAAGAAACGTGAAGTAAAAACAATTTCTAGACACGTATCTAATCCTGGGCATTCATATTATTTTACTCTTTAAATATTTTTATATTTTATATATATGTACATATTTATATATTCTATATTGAAAGTTTAAATATTCATACTTAAAGACCAAAACAATAAGAATGTCTAAGAGTTAGGTACACAGAGAAAAGAATATCTAAAAAAAAATGAAAAAATATTATATTTATTCAGCGGGTCCTATAATACATGTCTACTTATATTTAAGTTCTTCTACTTAAATACAATATAGTCTTCATGAAAAGTTAAGGTTTTAAGAAAAATGTATATTTTTTCATTAAAAAAAAATATATATATATATATATTTTTTTTTTTATACTATAATACAAGTGTAAATATGTTATTAGCACTCCTAAATAAATGTTTTACTTCTTAGATATTTTTTTCTCAATGTATGTGTCCGGTAAATACTATATCTCATATCTCTCAGATCCAATTCGACATCTTCAGCTCGCTCGTACATTCGGCTTATATACTGAGCTTGCGGTGCTTCGTCGATCCCCGTGAGCGAAAATCAAATTACCGGTTATTTTTCTCTTTCATATCTATATAACTCGCGTAACGTTGCCTCAATGTCACGTGAGCATTCATCGAGCATTAACTCGACATTAACGCGTCGCAATAGAGGACATTTCTCCTTCTTTTTCCCCTTCGACCTTTCCTTCTCCTCGTCCTCTTTTTCTTCCTCTTTTCTTTCTCTTTTCTTCCTCTTTATCTTTCTCTCGACTTTCCCTTGCTTTGACGCAAGTCACGTTAATCAAGGCTACGACATCCCCCATGTTCCAGTAGTCGCCGCGGTCCGCCGTTTTCTCTGCCTGGCACCAAGTTTCGCATAGGTCCGTGTTTTTCGCGGTGATAGCGCGCGTTGTATAATGGTCACATAATACAACCGTAATCGTGTCGTTTAGTAATTGCCGTTATTCCGTCTGCTCGCACGGCACGCAATCGAGTTTCACGAGTCCAAGACGAAGCGAGGGGAGAGCGCGACGACGAAATGAAGGCAGACGTCGAATAGTGTAACTAACGAGCCGTCCCGCGGAATATATCGCATAACGTGTAAAAAGCCGATTGGATAATTGTAATATATTCCCTTCTTTTTCTTTGGTGGCATATCGAACTCGCTACCTGCACTTGCATAACGAGCGTGAAACGAGTGCGACGACTCGACGGTGACGTAATGTGTCGCGGGATACGTTGGATTCCAACGCAAACACGTGAAAATGCATTAGAGGCATTAGAACTCGGTCTCTCGCTCGACGACTTTCTCGCTGCGTTAAGCTGATCTCAAGCTGGAGGGTCGTCGAGTGCACGACGCCGCGACGCTTCGACCTCCGCTCCTTCAAACATTCCCAGACAGTACAAATGTCTCTTTTGTCTCTTTTGTCCAGCGAATTTTAGAACAAGTGAAAATTTGATTCATCCTGACATTACGCCGAAGTTTCAGTCCTACTTTCGACCTGGACTTTCTAACATCTGTGTATATTCTGAGGGATCGATGCATGTTTAATGCACATGAAATCTTACTCAGCGCCTCTAAATGGCAAAAACACACAAAATACCACTTGCAGGTTCTAAGAAGGACTTCTATCGCAAAATTGTAGATTAAGTCGAATCGAAGAAGGTTAACACAAGCACAGTATCAAAATAGAGGACCAATGGATTAAAATCTCAACTCGGATAGAGACGTCTGAAAAACACCTTATTTGTTTCAGACGTCTGTTAAATAATTCTCTGCGAGTCGAAATTTCAGCTCCACTTTCGACCTGAACTTTCTAACATCTGTATTCTGAAGGATCAATGTATGTGTAGTGGACATGGAAAGTGAAGTACTACTTAGCGCCTCTAAATAACAGAAAACGCACAAAACGCCACTTGTAGATTCTAAAGAAAATTTCTCAGCAAAGTTAGAGAATTTTAAATAGAATCAAAAGAGGTTGATATAGGCTTTAGAGTATCAAAGTAAGAACATAAAATGTAGGAATATCAAATGAAACATTGAAATCGAAATCAAGGATCAAGATTTCAATTCGGGTCGAGATATACTCGAGACATTTGTACTGTTTGAGGACACTCTACTTGTTTTGGACATTTTGTAGATCGTATCTAAGACGACTTTCAGTTATTTGTGATATCTGAGTTGCCGAGGAAATCCACTTTCACGCATCGATATCTCCGAACATTACGAAAAAACAGCTTGCAGGCGTTGCACCTGGTTTCACTGAATTATTTTATTCGAGCACAACGAAAAATATGTTGTAAGATGAGACCTATACATTAGGATCTCTTTCTCGATCTCTGTGTGTCCCCAAAGTGACGGGAAACGGAGAGGGAGAGTAAGTGAAATGCAATCAGTGCGCGGTAATTCGCGCGAGGCAGAACAGGAAGGAAATTTACAAGTCGCTCGCTCGCTTGCTTTCTCTGCCTCGCTCCCTCCACAGGTGATGTGCGTCTCGTTCCTTCCAAGGAGTAAGATCATTGCACCGTCACTCTGCAATTCCTGGTTCCCCTTTACAGTGTCTATTAACTTCCTCTCTCTATCTCCTTCTCTTCCTGCTACTTCCGCGTGGCTCGATGCAAAACGTCCGACCCACGAAGCGATTGAAAAGTCTGCGTCGATAGGAAAATTTATTCCCCGCAACATTTATTATGTTTGTCGTCACTTAATCAACCAAAAGTCAACATCAAACATTTTGTATTTTACACTTCTTGTCTTGTTTCTTCGTCTTGTCTCTTCAATACTGTTATGTTTAAACTTTGAGTCCCAGTTTTTTCTGTTGGAAATTTGATATTATTTTAATAGAAAAATATCAGATATATATATAGAGATATTGCAAAAGATATTCGAAAATCTTCAGGATGAGAACGGTATGTGGATCGAATTAAACGGTCGATGCTCCGACGACGGGGAAAACGGGAAAACGTAAAAAGTCAAGGAATTAAGTGGTTAGCCGCTAAAGAATAATTTAACTCGACGGTTACTCTCTCCTAAGATCTACTCGGCTCGGGGAAAAGTTGTTTGTTTTATCTCTCCCGCGTTAGCTCTCGTTGCGAAAGATAAGAGAGTCAACGAAGGATCTTACAGGCCAGAAATGGCGCGCCCATCGCAAGCTGATCGCGCCGACATTCCACTTGAACGTACTCAAAAGCTTCATTGACCTGTTCAACGCCAACTCTCGCGCCGTGGTGGAGAAAATGCGCAAGGAGGGCGACAAGGAATTTGACTGCCATGACTACATGTCCGAGTGCACCGTCGAGATCCTCCTTGAGACCGCGATGGGTGTCTCCAAGACAACGCAAGACCGAAGCGGCTTCGAGTACGCCATGGCCGTTATGAAGCAAGTATCCGAAGAAATAGCTAATTAGCCGTAATTATGCAAGTACGTTTCGAGGAAAATGAGGGTGAAAATTTGAAAACAAAACCTCAAAAATCATAATTTTTTTGGATTGGATCATTCCTGTATAACTATGGCTAATTAAAAATTTAGCATAAAAGAACGAGGTGTTTGAGAGCGAAGAAGAGGACATTTGAAGTTTGCGGTACAGTGCGACACTGTTGTGAAGACGATATGTTACAGCACTATTAAATGACCTTTCAGTCGGCTTATTTGTCATACTTTTTATATACTTTTTTAATAAACTTTTTATCGATTCCAATGGATCTTTTGTCTCAGTAGCATCTCATAATCTCAGGATCTTCAATCGAATGGAAAATTTAAATTGGTAGAAGTCTCAGAATTGGTATTGTCTCCGTGTGACGAAAGTTCAATTTGCAGCGCGAAGTTTCAATATTTGTGCCCTTGGAACGTTCACAGGCAGATCTGTTTTCTAAAGAGCGAGTAGATGGGGGTATTATTTAAGTGTCACTGTGTCGTTGTGTCATTTAAGGATGTGCGACATTCTGCATCTGCGCCACACGAAGCTTTGGCTGAGGCCCGATTGGTTGTTCAATCTCTCGAGATACGGGAAAGATCAGATCCGTCTGCTGGAGATCATCCACGGGCTCACGAAAAAGGTGATCGCGCGCAAGAAGGAGGACTTCAAGAAGGGCAAACGTAATGTCATCGACACCTCCGCGCAAAGCAACGGCCAGGCCATCAAGGTAGTCAACGACCCAATAAATCGTATTATTTGTTGGGTGCGATATAATATGACGCAATGTGTCTTCTTTCTCAGAACACCTCCGTGGAAGGACTCTCCTTCGGACAGTCGGTTGGTCTCAAGGACGACCTCGACGTGGACGACAACGACGTTGGCGAGAAGAAGAGGCAAGCCTTCCTTGATCTGCTAATGGAAGCTGGTCAGAAAGGCAAGGTGCTTACGGATGAAGAAGTAAAAGAGCAAGTCGACACCATCATGTTCGAGGTAGGTGTTGCAGGTGCACTTGAAGATCGATTGTGAACTTCTCCTCCTCGACTTGTGAAGAAGCTCAGTTTTATAAGTTTTTTTATAGGAATTAACGATAAAGTGAAAGATGAAAGTGCGTCACATCCGCGATTTTCTAATCAGATTTCGTATTTTTTCGTACGGATTTATGCCTCATAGCCTTTTCTCGTACAAATATTTTTCAGCAGTGAAGAACAGAAGTAGAGAAACAGTGCAGAAGTGGACTGTCAGTAAAATTTACTTTGTGAGGCATATATATAGTAAACTTTTATAAATAGTAGACTTCAGATCCTGAAATATAAATGGCACATAAGAATCGGGAGAATGTCCGTATGTTACAATATTCCATAATAGTTTTTGCTACATGATTTCTTTTCCGCGTGTATAAATCAACATAAAAGACAGTACTGTCGTCGATTGACGATTGGAAAACCTTGCTCGAAATTGCTCCCTGGAAATTTCGCTCACTTTTACCGCGTGTGTCCCGGCACGTTCGTGACTGAAGTATGAAGGGGGTCATTCACTCGCGTGGTTTTTGCAGGGACACGACACTACCGCGGCCGCGTCGAGCTTCTTCCTGTCGGTGATGGGTTGCCGCTCGGACATTCAGGAGAAAGTTATCCAGGAGCTCGACGAGATCTTCGGCGACAGCGACAGGCCCGCGACCTTCCAGGATACCTTGGAGATGAAGTACCTCGAGCGGTGTCTCATGGAGACTCTGCGCTTGTACCCGCCTGTGCCGCTCATCGCGCGGAACATCAACAAGGACTTGAAACTCGGTCAGTTTTCGCGATCGTGTCTTGATTTGCCGGCGATCTTTTCTTTTCTCTTGCCGACGCGTTAATGACGACTGTCGCTTCAGCATCGGGAGACTACGTGCTTCCGGCCGGCTGCACGGTCGTGGTGACGACTTTCAAGATGCACCGACAGTCGTACCTCTACTCGAACCCGGAGGTCTTCAACCCCGACAACTTCCTGCCCGAGAGAACCGCCAACCGCCATTACTACGCCTTCGTACCGTTCTCCGCCGGGCCGCGTTCCTGCGTGGGCCGCAAGTACGCCATACTCAAGCTGAAGATCATCTTGTCCACGATCATGAGGAACTTCCGCGTCAAATCCGACATCAAGGAAAGCGACTGGAGGCTCCAGGGCGACATCATACTCAAGCGGAACGAGGGCTTCCAAATCAAATTGCAGCCGAGGAAGCCGGCGGCCGCGACCGCGACCGCTTAGACGCTCCTCGGCTTCGGCGGATTATTAGTGTGGAAAGTAGAATAAAAGCGGTGGTAGTGTAGCAACGACGGCGGGGATGGGGGTGGGAGGGCGAATCGCGTGTCTCGAGCTTCGAGGCGAAACGAAGACCGGAGTCTCGGAAGGATCGCGCATCGACATATGAATGTTTGGATGGAGCATTCTGCGAGAGAAAGGTACTATTAACGGTAAGGTAAATTACGCCACTTTGGGTAATATCACTCGGAGCTTGCTCGGGTTTGTATCCGCTCACTGGATTGCATCGCTGGACTGCGACGTCCGCAATGAACCGAAGTAGCATCTTTGAACAGATTTCTTACGTCAGTATAAAGTATCAACATAATGGCTTGATTTACATCGTGCACTTGATATACGTACTAAATAGTAACTTTCTATTAGATAATCTTAATATCGACAATGCACATCAACGGCGACGCATTCAATCAATACAATACATTTTGTTGGTGAGTATTATATCAGCTTAATATACCGTTGTTTATATGTATCGTCGATATTAAAATTATCTAATAGAAAATTACTATTTAGTACGCGTATCAAGTGCACGATGTAAACCAAGCCGTTGTAAAGTGAATAGTGAGTAGAAAAGTATATGGAGTCAAACTCTGAATGACTCAAAGTGACCTTCTCCTTACTGAGCATGTATATATAAGCCGAGGCGTAACAGGTCATTGATATTTTCTAATCGTACGAATCTGTCCCTGAATGTTAACTTCTTTAACCCTTTCGTCCCGAATGGTAGACATAAATATATTATATTCAGGGACGAGAGAGTTAAATAGTTTACAAACATAGTAAACAATGAACTGATAATGCGTAGGATTAGAAGGTTCTCTAATGATCTAGTTGGGTGATGTTGTTAAAGCTATTGCGCCAATTTGTGTGCAACCCCGTAATTGACAGTGCAGATATTTATGTCGATGAAATTGCGTCGCGCGCGAAAAAAAATGAAGCAAACGCGTTAGACCGCGACTGCGCGAATGTATATTAGATGTTATATATTACTGGCCCGTAGTCGTTAGTCGTTTTACGTAGTCTTATACTGATCACTTACGTTGATATTTATCGTCTCGCAATAAATTACACGGCGCTCGCGCCGCGAGATTTGATGTTCGCGCAATCTTTCCTGTCGTTCTCCCGTCTCATTCTGATCCTTACTATCGTGCACCGAGGAGACCATGGCGAAAAATCGAGACGTAAGCATGCGGAAATACAGCCGAGAAACGGGTGCGGTATTGGCGCGGAAGGATTACGAGGGAGAGAAATTGCCGGGGACTGGCTCCAAGATCGGAGAAAGCGAGCTAGGCTCGACTAAGCCGGCGATTATTAAAACTCTCGCCGGCGCCCGATGGCACGAAATGGGAAAGGTTAAGGACGAGTTGAAGGCAATGCTTCCGATACTAAAGCCTTCAGAAGTGATAAGGTTACTTTGATTGTTGAATACACTTCCTGTATCCTTCGTCGCGAACGTGAGATTCTCAAAGCATTTCGTCTAGAATTACGGCATTTAAAATGCTTCTTTCCTTGACTTTGTTCGATCTATTAGCAAATACACGGAGGGAGAATTTTGTAATAAAAATTATCATAAAAAATTGTATAGATGATCTATAAAAATTTTATAGATTTTATAGATGAGAAACATGTCAATATTTTGCCTTAATTTATTATACTTCGTCTTACACATGCTATTTAGGAACTAAAATCTGTTATTTAAAAATTTATTATTAATTACTATAATAAAAAAGTTTCAAATTTACTATTTAAAATTTATTTTTACAATTAAAAATTTATATTTACCAGCATTATAAATTTTCTACTGAAAGTTTACTCCTGCGCGCTACTAGAAAGAAACATGCTAAACCAAATTTATATGGAAAAAAGTTATATTCTCAACGTGTACAAATTTCTACGCGTAAAAAATCGATCTTCTGATCATTTTCATATTGACTTTTCATCGAGAAGATTTTATTTGCTACCTCATGAGGCCCTCATCCACGAACTTGAGGAGAACGGCTACGATGAATCGATTGGATTCTTGAAGCAACTATTGGAACTCGATGAGGAAACTCAGAAGCAGGCTAGTCTTGGAACATTGATGTGGAAGAAACCGTGTTTGAGAGACAATAAGAGAGCGTTGCTGCGTCTCAAAGAAGGCTTGTTCGCCTTTGAGCAGGCCAAAAACGTGGGTGCGTGAAAAATTAAAGAAACTACTTATTTTTAGACATTGTAATAACACTATACTGCATATAAATATTCCACAAATACGAGAGATACATGTTCCATGATAATGCCGAATATGCGATATAAAATCTCTTTCCTAATTTTCTGTTATCAAGCTTTAATGTTTCATGAATAAGTTTTGATAGCGATCGCTATAAAGAAGTCTGAGAAGAAGTAAGAATGACATTTCATAAATTCAGGAGACTCGGCGTCTATGATAATGGCACTTCTACATACGGCGGTATTCTTCCAAACAATGACGTGGGAGTGGTGGTGGGTGGCGGAGCAACTTTACCGTAGTGCAATGACGAAAGTCATCGAACATGAAGACCAGCGAACAATCACCGTGATACGCTATCTATTCGGTCGATTTTTGTTCGAACAATGTTAGCGAACAGTATAGTAATATACGCACAAATTTCTCGCGATACATACTGCAAAACAAGTGGTTTTAACCCTCAGAGTCTTGGTTCTTTTATTTTATTTTAGAAATTTTATTTTAATAGCGGGATATCAGATAGATGTAAATAGTGTTTCAAATGTTTGATTTCTGAAAAAATAGTTTCAGCAAGGAAACAATCTTTTAAATTTTGTGAAAAATTAGGACATTAAAATGAGAAAATGTAGAATTTTTTTTATTTTCTATCACTAAACAGCATCTAAATATTTTTATTTTTAGAAATATTTGCTGTGTTTTTGAGCAAGTAAATTGCTTTTTCAGACCAGAAAAATAATAATATTCGGAAATTTTAAAGTTATTAAAAAAGGTATAAATATAAATATGTTCGCATGCATCGTAATGTAATGCGCGTATATATTTCTTAATTACATATATAAAAGTAAAATATAGTTCTTCTTAAATAAATTCCCGAACATCGTTACTTGCTTTGCCTTGAAACGTGCCTCCTTAGATATGCAAGGACTCAAAGAGTTAAATAATTTTGAACCAGCCAATACAAATTTCATATTTCGTTCTTGTAGAATTCGATCGTAAACCCCAGAAATATGCAGAATTTTTTCCAAATAAATAAAATAAAGACATTTTATATGCATATAAAAGATCACGAAATCGGCGAAGTTAATTACGCGATCGCGGTATCATCAGTGCAGAACACAGAGGAGTCGTTAGAGCATTTGAAAGTCGCACGGGAAGTGTCCAAGGGAAAATCGTGGAATGCATCAAAGCTAACAGGTCGAGAGGAGCAAAGCATTTTCCGCGAGTGCAACGTACTGCTGTACAAAACGCTGTTGATGCACGCGCGACAGGCCAAACCTGACCAACCGGATATCGCCGTGAAAGCGTGCACCGAAGCTCTCGCGCGAGCGACTGATTGTAAGTGATCACTCTATTTTTCATATTTTAGCTTTAACATATGCTAGATTCATCAGTTTGATAAGATATTTCCGTGAGAGATTTTATCTCGTATATACCCGGTAAATGCCCGGTATACGGTAATAATATCTCTGATCCCATCTAAAGTCTTAACAAATACGGAATCTATTTTGTAATGTAAATATCTACTTTCGCTTTCCTTTCCAATGAACGTTATTTAACGCTAAAAATATCAGACTGCACATTAGAGCAGTCATTTTTTTACTATTTTCACTCTTAAATTAATATGCTGTCGCTTTGACTATTTTCACTTTTAAATTAATGTTTCCTGTGTAAGAAACATGATTGAACTAAATGTTCTATCAGAATAAAGGAGGAGTATCAGTGTAATTGCAATCAAAAATCGGCTGGAATAACATTTACCAAGAATACATTTTGTTTGAGGCAACCAAATATCACTGCTGCAACGCCGGTAACTCAACTGCTCAACTAGGCAACCATTCAACAATTGTTCTGTGGTTGCAGCAACCACATAATTAGTTGTTCCATATTTTACTATTGAATCTAGCGAGCACAACCAGATTTATATGTGGTGATGTGTGGATATATGTGTATTCTAACCATATATACTGTGTATTCCGTGTATTAAATTCTAAACAGCACAAATCTCCACAGGACGTCCTAAAGACGTTCTGGGAACGTTTCTATGTTCTGAGAACGTCCCTAGAACATCCTTTGGAGATCTTGTGCTGTCTGGAATATATAACTGGTTGGACATTTCGCAAATTGGTTGCGCTTCGAGCTTCATATTTACAATACATATTTACATGTACATATTTCACAAATATGTTCGATGCGTAAGATCTGTATTTCAAATGTATTCAAAGTGCTAGGTTTACTACTGGCGAGCCGAACGATATGTTTATTTTGTCGATTAAACCATTATTCCGTAGCTGAGCAACGCGAGTATATAGAAGAAGCTTTGTATGAGCTGGGCCAAAGTCAGATGCGATCAAGCGACATAAAGCATGCTCTTCAGAGTTTCTCCAAGTTGCTGGCTTTGGCTAAGAGAGTCCCGGATTCACAGGCAGTATGCAACGCGCACATGGCACTGGCATTAGCATATAAGGTACGCGGGGAAATATTTTCATTTCGTGCAATTGAATGAAAACCAAACAAGAAATTCATTGACAAAGAATAATATCTCTGTTATTGTGATCGAAAACATTCGTCTGAACATTCAGCTATGTTAAAACTTGGTTTCTAGATAGCACAAGATCTTCAGTGGATGTGCTGGGAACGTTTTCAGAATGTCTTTAAAATGTTCTGTGAAGATTTGTGCTGTTTAGATTGAGGCAACTGAGAGCAATTGGCTGAGCAAAAAACCCATATAGGAAACTTTCTGTTTCTTACTGAAAAAAAAATATTTGATATTTGCAACTGTAATCACATAGAGAAATAATTACTATAAATTATAGCAAAAAACCATTTCTTTATTAAATTTTGCTATAATGTCAATAGTGATAACAGTTATTCCACTATTATCTACTAACCAAAAATAACTATAATTTTACGATGATGGCAATAGAAAGTAAATTTAACTAAATTGAAGATACAATAGCAATGGGAAGAAAACTAAATAATAATATTAATAAAAATAATGTTAATAAATATCATCATTATTACTATTATTGTTATTATTACATTGCAAGTTTAATTATACTATAATATTATTGAAAATAGATGGACGATTTTAGAGTTTTCTTCAATTCGCGTTTTGCGTCGCTTGTCGTGCGTCTCAAATTTTTTATCGCAAACGCATCCTTCATACAACTTATTTTTACAGAAACTGGACAACGAGACGAATACAGAGAAGCATCTTCATCTGTCCAAGGAAAAAGCTGCTGAGTTTGGGCTTACGAGACAACTCGCACAAGCACAATACTACACCGGCGAGTACTTCTTAAGCAAAGTACGAACGTATCGCGTCGAAAGTGCGCGATTTCTTTTGATTACCTCTTCTAATGTTGATTGATTATCTCTCAAGAAAGACAGAGATCATAAAGTGTTCATTGTGAACGCGAAATGTAAGAATTATCGCATTTCTTCTAGGTCGGTATTAGTAGTCGTGCTCTCTTAAAGTGAATCAGTGAATAGTCACTGATATCAGTTATAAGTATAGCACTGAGCAGTTTCAGTGCTATACTTGTAGCTACAAATCAGTATATAATTACTGTTTTCAATGATATTTCACTGATTCACTTTAAGAGAGTGTGAATCTTATATATTTCGTCTCAAATTCATATTCAGATATACGCGGATTGCTGACTACGCG